ACACAAAAATTCAATTAAAAAAGTTTAAAAATTAATAAAAATGAAAATTACAAGCCAGGTGTGGAAGCGTACACCTCTAATCCCAGCACTTGGGAGGCAGAGGCAAGAAGATCTCTGTGAGTTCAAGGCCAGCCTGGTCTACATAGTGAGTTCCAGGACAGCTGGGGCTACAGGGAGACCCTGTCTCAAAAAACACCAACTAACTAACTAACTAACTAACTAAATAAATAAATATTACAAAGCTCTTAAATGATATAGAAACACTCATTTGACTAAAGGAAGCTGACAACACAGTGGGCAGTAACAGGGATGACAGAGTATACGGGCTCCAGTGGGGGGATGTGCTATGGGAGGGTGCCAGGGGGGATGGGGGTATAAAGATGATTAAGATTGTTTGCACTGTTCTGTATGAAATACACAAAAAATTCAATTAAAAAAGTTTAAAAATTAATAAAAATGAAAATTACAAGCCAGGTGTGGAAGCGTACACCTCTAATCCCAGCACTTGGGAGGCAGAGGCAAGAAGATCTCTGTGAGTTCAAGGCCAGCCTGGTCTACATAGTGAGTTCTAGGCTAGCTGGGGCTACAGGGAGACCCTGTTTCCCAACTAACTAACTAACTAACTAACTAAATAAATAAATATTACAAAGCTCTTAAATGATATAGAAACACTCATTTGACTAAAGGAAGCCATGAAAGTTGATATGCATTATAGCCATATATTTTCATATAATATTTGGAAAATAAGGAAAGGTACACACATATGATCAGTAGTTTCTGATGCAGACATTTTTCTGTATTTTCCTGTTTGTTTCTTGGGTATATGCTTATGTATACATGTTTCTGTGTGTGCATGTGCACCCAAGGATGTGTGTGCATGTGTGTAAGGACAGATGTTAATGTTGGACGTCTTCCTCTATCCTTCCCCACCTTATTAATTAATTAATTAATCAATCGAGACAGGTCTCTTCTTGAACCTGGAACTCAGAGATTTGGCTAAACTGGCTGGCCAGCAAACTCTAGGGATCTTCCAGTATCCACCCCCCAGTGCTGGGGTTACAGTTATGTACCATCATGCCTTGCTTTTACATGGGTGCTGGGGATCCGAACTTGGGTCTTCGTGGTTGCCCAAGAGGTGCTTTACTGCCTGGACATCTCCCAGCTCCTATTTTCCTAAATGTCTATACATCATTGCCATTAATTTTAATATTAGTAAACTATACTTTTTTTAAAAAGAAGCGAACTCTGATCCATGTTTCACTCCTCTTAAACAATCACTTGGCAGGAGAGGCGCCCGCCCATCACGGCTCCAGCCTTGATCTGTTTTGGAAGGGAAAGTTACCAGTCTTGTGCAGGCTCTGGAAAGAGGCCGAGATTTGAGGTAATTACCCAGGCATCTGATGTGTGTTTCATTATTTCTCAGTGGCCTCATAACACACACGGGACAGGTATTAAAAGCTCCCAGTTAGGAGGGAAATTTGAAAGTCACACTATGGATCAGATCAGATGATCCCAGGAAATTCCAGAGCAGATGCTGAGAAGGTGCGATTTCCTGGAGCTGACTCAGAGACTGACTGTGTGTGTGTGTGCGTGCATGCATGCACGCATGCATGTGTGTGTGTCCTTACAGAAATCCAGCCACATGGCCCAATGACCAAATGCTGACACCAATAGGAAAATGCTGAAATTTGCCAGCTCCATGTGGAAATCGGAGGGAAGGTTGGTCAGCTTGAGTGGAACCAGGGTCATGGGTGGGCCATGCAAGCACTCTAGGATTATGCTGCATCTCCATTCCTACACTGTTTCTTTAAAAAGTAGTAGCCCATTTTAGCAGTGTCCTCCGCCCCTCTCTGAGTCCTCTCTTCCCGGCCTCAGTGACGCGCTGCTCTTCCCCCCACCCAGGTTCTTGGTCTGCTTCCAAAGAACCAACCAAGAGCATCTAGGCATGTTTACATCCTGCAACAGTGAACATGATATGTCCCTCTAGAGAGGGCTTTGAACATCAACAACTTCATCTCTGAAAGAGCTGTAGAGCTTTACTAAACGCAGAGTTAAAGTGATACCCAAGACAAGTGTTTTTGAAGAAAGAAAAAAAAGAAAGATATATTCGCCACCTTCACTTTCTTCTGGGATTACATCATTGGCAGCAGAATCCCCCTGTGTGATGGACAGCATGTGTCTTGTGCTTTGTGACCCTTAGGGGAAAGAGTTTATGACAGAGTGCCCACTTCTACCCACCTAGACCAGACTTTCCCTGTGGCAGACCTCTAAAGAGGAACAGGGAGCTCAGGTGCTGCAAAATTTGTATGCCTGCGACATATGGCTCTACAGAGAAGCTTTGTTTTGGCTTCTGCCAAAAGGGCTCAACAGCAGGACATCCCTCCTGGGCCGATGGAAAGATCCACCGTTTCAGTCGATTAGACCGAACCTGGCATATCAACTGGCAATATCAGCCACAGAGCACAGAGTTCTTTGTTATCTAGTCTGAAACACTTCCTTAAATAAATTGACCTCTCATTTTCTTCTCTACCACTGACGCTTTTCTCAGTAAAACAACTTCTGCTAGCTTGTTAGATTCTCAAGTCCCTCTTCTTGACCTTCAAAATGCTACATGGCAAAATCATCTCGATCCCCTCCCCTTCTTCTTCTGGCTAATTTTGAGGTTGACCACGGTTTTTTCCTAGGATACTGCAAACTTACAGATTATTAGGAAGAATCACAAAATAGTAATTAAATAT